GCTCTCAAAAAATCTTGCTTACTCTAGCAAGATGACTGCGTCTTTTATAGAGCTGCAGCAGTTTTGCTGTGTTCTGTAACTTCTGTAGTTCAAGCGCTGCTGCAGCGAAGATAAATGGGCAAGTGCATTGTTAACGCAACCTTGCAGAAAATTGTTTGGGACCAAACAATCGCAGAACTGAAGAGGGATTCAACCATATTGTTTTCCCCACTGCATACGCTGCAACGAAGTGTATGCTTCCACGGCTAGACTTAATGTTACAGAGGGACCTCGTCTTTTGTTAGGCAAAATACAACGATTACAAAAGAAGTCACTTCAGCATTGTGAAAGATTGTATATGAGTTATGAATACTGTAATAGCTTTAGCTTGGCTGCTTTGTGTTCACACTTGAACAAGTAGAGCGTTAAACTCTACACTCTAATTATGAGATTTTCTCTCCCAGCTCCTGAGTAAGCGACCTAATAAAGAAGAATTCCTTTGCCAGTTCTCATATGCTGAAGTTGTGGCATTTAAGTTGGGAGTAAATCTAAAACAACTTCGTTGACTTTAATGGTGTTGCTGCATTGGAGTTGCATGTAATTAAAGGTAATGCAACAGAAAAATATCAACCATAAGAGTTATTTTAATCCAAGCTCAAATGTGGCACTGAGAGCTTTTAGCATTTAATTTATAATTTGCCCTTGGCGAGGCTGTGCCAGAAGGATTCACTATTTTTAATAACAAAACAAAAATACACTCCTGTCATAGAGGAGTAAGTTTGGTTTTAGTCACTTGACAGTCCTAGTCACTATACACACTGAAGAGAATATGGAGCTCTCCGTCAATTGCTTATTTTTAATGAGGATTATAGCTTGTTTAATTATTTGGTATAATTTTTCATCCTAGAAATATTCCTGGGTATGACTGTGTATATGAAGTAACTTCACTGTTCTCCAGTGGATCCTGGTGCTCACAGTTGGCCAGCTGTAAATAAATATTTGGGTTTCTTAAAGGTGCATGCTTTTTCTGATAGATTTAGAATTATGGAATCTATACAAGCATTCGAGTGTCTAAAAATTCAAACACAATCACCTGGGCTTTTCTGGGGCAGGATTCATCTTTGCAAGAATCTCCTAGGTCTTGTATGCAGTGGGCTTCTTAAAGTTTTTCTAATTCAAATGAGTGAGCAGGCAAACCTCTGGGAGGTGCAGACGTTTAGGGTGTGTCACCACGGCATCTAAATTACCAAGTAATTTAGATACAGTGAAGTCTCAGAAGAAGATGCTGTCTGTAATCAGTGTCTTCTGTTCAGGCTTCTTAGAGAAACTTTGAGACTTATGTAGGAGGTGAGCGTACGGCAAATGAAAACACTGAACATGAGATTGCTGTAGTTTTCTTTTTTTTTTTTTTTGTTTTACTATTTCAGGAAATGATGAAGAGTAAAGCAGCTTCTAAAAAGAAGTTCCAATAATCATTTTGCAGCTTCTTTGGTTCCCTTAGTTCTGTGTACGTGTTCAGGACATAATGCTTTTGCTAATTGTGAAGGATGAAAAAATCCAAGAGCTGTAAATCATTCCCTAAATACAAGCAGCTTATTAGTTTCCAGTTGCTTGAGAATATAATTGCCTGGAATCTAATACTTTTGTTTGCTCTTTTTTTTTTTTTCCAGGCAGGCCTGATAGATGTATTTGTGTTTAAAAACTTCCTTACCGAATGCTCTCCTCTGTTTTCTCAGGTGGCTTTTCCAAGGCATGAATGGGTTGCTTTCTGAATGCTAGCTGATACCTTTTCTCTCTTTGGTGGATGCATATGCTGCCTGCTGTAAATCACCAGCTCTTGTTTCTTCTTAGAGACTTTTAATTTGTTCAAGAGATCCCATGTCTGTTCTGTGCATCTCATACAATTACAACCTAGTCTTGCAGTCTTGGGGTTGTAGTGGTGAGAATACAGTGCACAGTTACTCTTCCATCCGTGAATATGGACTTTCTATGGGGAAAATGATTTCCACTTGCTTTGCAAGTTAACGTATCTTCTGGCTTTGCACATGTAATGAAGAATCAAGAAGACTGCTCGTTTCTGATCCCAGGGAGGGAATGAGAAGTCATGCTCCCACAGTTTGTAACTCTGCCCAAAGTCCACTGAACAGTGACTGAAACTCGGTGTAAATAGAACTCTGATGCCTACAACTGACACTTCCATTCACCTTCTTTTCAGTGGCTTGTGAGTAAATAGCCACGTGTTGTTTCTGGTCTCAAGGGTATTTGGATTTCTGTCAACTGCATGTGATACCCATGTCTGTCTTCAGAGTCTGGTAGTTTCCGTGCCAGGTATGGTGTGGGTGGTAGAGATGCCCTTTAGCAGGCGAAGTCTCTCACTTCTCCATCCTTTGCCATCTGTCGACATGTGTTAACTGTCTGTCAACCTCCTGGAATTAAACACAGAGGGCAAGACACAAATAAAAACTGACAAATGTGATTTTGGCAGTGAACAAACTCAATGACGTCAAGGTGCGTGCCCATTAGCTAGTAGTGGTTCAGAGTTTCATAGCAAGGTAGAGTGCCTGATTGCGTGGTCTTGTCTCTGGGACTGTGAATTCGGAGTCAGTCAACTTGCTGGCTGCTTTTACCACTGCTCACTTCTCAGATGGTCACTATGTTCTGGATTGTTTCTCTTTGGACCCTTTCAAGGAGGATGTGTAAGGCCATTACCCACTTGTGTCGCCTGTACTGCACAACCTGTAAGTAGGTTTTGTGCTAAGATGAGTGCGTGTTCTGATCTACCCTGGAAAGGAAACATGCCGGTTTGATAGCTTAGTCTTTAAAGAGTACACGTTTCTTTGGGACTTGGCATATTGTAAATCTGTATTGCCGTAGAATGGAAGAACCTTATGCCAGGCGTTTTATGAACACAAAAAAGAGGGATGTTTACAATCTGAATAAAAGGCAAAACTGAGAACTGGGGAAAATCAAACAGTGCTACTTAGTGTGACCAGCAATGCTATTGGTGTAATGATACTGTAAGCATTGTCTTGCTTTTGTTGTTTTGTTAGTAAAAAACAAATTTGAAGGAGAACAATGATGTTGTTTTCCAGCTTGGCTGAGGGTGAAATTTTTGTGACCAGCTTCAGCTGGTCTGGAGTTGTGCTGTTGCAGAACGGGATGTTCCCACCTGCTCGTTCTTGCTGGCACTGATGTGCGTGTGGCTGGGGAGTCAGCTGGATCAGCTTGCTGCTTTGTGTTCAGGTGGGTTTTCTTGTAGGGTTAGTTTTCACTGCAGACAGAGATATGATCCAGCTGACCTCACAGCCTACCTGAGCACTAGTTGCTGTCACAAGGGTGGTGAGACTGTTTGGGTGGGTGAGGAAGAAGCTTGTGGATTCTCAAAGATTGGCTTAAGCCAATCGTGAAACTTCGTCACGATTGGTTCTCTCTTAGTGGCCCTAACTTTAGCAAGGCAATGTGTTTATCTTGGTTTCTTTCAAATGTTAGTATGAATGACAGGAATGTGCCTGTGATTTCTGAGAGCAGTATGTGAAGAGCTGGGGCACAGGGCGCATCATGAGCACTTCTTGTGTGAAGAATAAGCAGTCTTTCATGCATGTTTTTTGTGCCTTGTAAATCTGTCCATCCTGCTTGTGTCATAAAAACATGCTGTAGCTCAGGGTGTCACACTTTCTTTTTGTTACAATTGATTTGTACTATCAACTAAAAGATAGGGCTGCCTGTTCATCTGCTGTTCTGTGTGCAGGGGCAGCAGCAGAGGACACGAGAGTCTACGTGCTGCCTTGAAATGGCATTTCACAGGCCTTTTTTTTTAATTTTGCTGTATAAAGTCAGTGCTTTCAGTTAAAGATGCATGGGAAGGGCACTTACATTTAATGAACTGGTAACTTTAGTTAGGTTCTTTTCTTCCCCCCTAAACTGTTGTCTCCGAAAGGCAGGTCAAAAAATGGAAGTAGACTTGACAGAAGAGCCCGGCAAACCATTCTGCTCTCAGTATTGTATATAAGAGAAGGATGGATTTTGCAGTTCAGACCCTGGTCCTCAGATACTCGATTCCCTTCCACAGTCTTTACTTTTGGCAAGTTGATTAATGAAGTTCCTCAGTCATGAAGTGGGGCAGTTTCCTGATTATCTTGATCGTAAGCAGTTTGAAAAGGGGACAGCCACATAGTAATTGTATTTGTCAAATGGCCATTCGCCAGAATGACTTCTCACCACTTCTGCAAACCAAAAAGAAAATAAGCATACAGCTAGTAATCTCATGGGGTGTGAGAAGTTGGGCCAGGTCATAAAGATTCATGGTTATGACAACTGTAGTACCTACCTGTGCCTGTCTGCCTTGATCCTCAAGTGATAGCACTGTTACAAGCTGTACATCTGAATTGCTTTTAAAAAAAAAAAGAGGGAAGATGAATTTCTCTCTGTCATGTCATCCAGCCTGTTTCCTTATTAGAACAAGGTTGTCCCGTGGAGAACACGATAGCTGAGTCTGCTCCGTTTCTCACAGATGAAGTGTCGTCCTTTGACTTCTGGCAGATGGCCAAAGCAATCCTGGCTTGGTAAATCCTGGATGTCAAGTTATTTGACACGCTAATGGCTGACATACGTTCTACTAGCAGGAAGAACTGAATTATGTGCAAAGCTTAAAATCAAGGGACAAATATGCACAGCTCACTGTTTGGAGGTTGGTGGGAGTTTACTTCATCCAGGAAAGGTTTTTGTGGCTGGTTTAATTTAGTTTCTGTAAAATGAGTAGCTGGAAAAGAAGTTCTTATTCCTGCTTGAGATAAAGAAAAAAAAAAATGTATAGTTCATCTATCAGGACTTTGTCAAGACTCTCAGAGGCCAGGCAGCTTTGGAGTTATTTGCAGATGTACTTATTTCAAAAGTAGCAAAGGTACCAGTTTGCTTGGAAGAAGTAGGCCAATTTCTGTTTTTTCTTTGGATTTATGTCATTGTATGCTGTGGTTTTGGCTGCACTTGTTTAAAGTTGGTCAGATATTTTGTACTTTATTTACTATAGTGTCTTTAAAACTCTTAAAACAGTATTCGGATTTTCTGCGTTCTTAGTTGGGTGCCTGTCTTGTTTCTTAACACTTCTCCCTTTTTGGCTTTAGAAGTGTCTAACAACTGTTTGGCTTCTCCTGGCTTCTGTTTGGTGGATTTACAGGGAAGATTTCTTGGCAGTCGTGCAGCTTGCAAGTGTGAGCTTCTGGCTTCCTGGCCTGCCCCAGGTGATGCAAGAGTCCTAGCATACGCAGGCAGTGCTTGACTTATTTTATGCTAGGGTGGTCGTGGTTGTTTTTAAACTACACACAGTGTGCCAAGTTCCTTACCAAGCAAGGAGAGAAGTTACTGCTTAAAACTTTACAGCTGAAACTACAAAGCCAGTCCCCTTAACTGTGTGAAATTTCTTGCCCTAAGAGTAGCTGCTTTTCTGGCTATGGTAATACTAGGCAACTGGAAGAGAAAAGTGAGGAAATGACAAGGCAATTCAAGGGCTGGTGATGGATTAGAGTGGGGTACAAGCAGATGAAAGCACTGTGAGAAATATGTCCTATTGCTGCTTCTGAGAATACCTTAATTTGGAAACTTTTTACAGGAAAATGATGTTGAGGTTGAAGATCCAGGGCAGAAGTGTGAGGGTCTGATGCTTCAGCGTTGTGTGTTTCAAAGTTCTTTATCTTTTCAGCCCAATTAATTTAGAGTTTAGCTAAAGGAATTTTGCATTAGAGTAAGTGTTTATTAACCTAGTATCAAACAGGGATGTATGACAGTGGTGTCAGACTGGAGAACGTGAAGGGTTTTTAATTGCAGTCCTCATACCTGTTGAGATGCTCTTCGAAGTGTGAATCTCTTCCAGCTGAAGCATGATTTTCCAGAGTCTGTGGACATCCTGAGGTGTGGATAGGTTTTCCTAATTAGCGCTTCTGATGCCAGCTTTAGGACCTGCAGATAACACTTGCAAGCCTTAATCTTAGGCACTTAACTGTTGATTTTGTTTGGGGTTTTTTTGCAGTAGTTGAAGGAGTACAGGGGAGGGAACTGGGCCTTTCTGCTGGAAGGAAATACTGAGGAGGAAGAGAGGGTATGCACTCACAGAGGAAGGACAAGGGAGGATGAGAGGAGAGGGAATTACTGGTCCTGATCCTACAGTGCAGGTGTTAATTTCCAGGGACGTGGTTAGGGCAGAGGGGCTGCTGTGTGCATCATTTTTTTACCAGCTGTCTCAGGCAGTGAACTGCATTGTAAGGCTTGGGAGAAGTGAGGGGTGCCTCCCTCCTACTCAGCTGCACTTCAGCTGTTGCCTGACCCAACACCTGCATACGAAATAAAGAACTAAACATGCAAATTCAGTCCCTGTAGAACAGTCACCTGTTTGTGCAAGACTGCAGAGGAAGATCAGTTGCGGGTTGAAGGTGCATAATTCTAGACACAACACACAAATAGTGATGAATGTATTTCAGCTTTCTCTGTAGAATGAGTTTAACATACCATACTTCATCAGATTTTGATTTGACGTTAATATTCTGCTAGTTCAGTACATCAAGAATAATAGATATGCTGCTAAATTTTCTTGGTTTTTTTTATGCTTGTTAAAGAACAGATCTACAGTCTGTGAGAGTTCACCAAAACCAACTTGTATTTATAACTTCTCTCTGAGAACCTCTAGACTTCTCTTCTGTCCTAGAAATGTCTGACAAAGGATTTCAGAACAATTTCCTTTTTTTAAATTGCATTGAGTTTTCTTTTTTGTTGTTGTTGTCTTCTCCATCTTCAATTCACTTCTAGAGGCTTTGAGACAATTTTCTTTGGTTACAGAAGGAAGAAGCTTAAGGGGGTGTGTATGTGTGTGTAATTTAATTATAATCCTGGGCTGTGATTCTACATAATTTTCATTAGTGCCAAGTCAGCTTCAGGTCCTCCATTTCCTTGCTTCTCACTCATGTTCCCTCACAGGGCTTTGTCCCCTCCATTACACCTATTTGACTGTTCGTGCAGCTGCCCTCTGAACATCATCTGTGAAATGATCCAGCACAAGAGCCTCCCAAATGAAAGTGCACTTTGGCAAGCGATGTAAACCTTTGTTCTGATTTAGACTGTAACCCTATGGTCATATACGTTTGAACTGACGCAACTCTGGGTATAATGATGTCTGCTTGAAGAGTGTAAGGCTGTATAACTGAGTTTTCTCTCAAGGGGACAGTGATATAGAGCTCCAACTTCTAGTCTTTTTGCAGAATGAGGTATGTAGCTATAGATATCTTTTTTTAGATGTTTGTACTGGCAGTACTATATTTAGTTACTATTCTCTGTGTATCACCAGAAAATAAACTCCAATTATATGAGTTTTTAAAGTGTCAGTTTGCCAAAGCCAAAACTTCACGGTAAGTGTCTTATCTGGGAGGCAGGAGACTTGTGCTAAGGCCCCTGGGGCTTATTGACTGTTTGGAGGTGAGTCTCTTTCTCAGTGTTGTACAGGGAAACTGGAAAAGAATATTGTTTTGTCACAGTATTGAACAGGGAAAAGAGTTTTAGATTCAGGGGTTTTGTTAAATGGGAAACCTCCCGTGACAAATTTCTCTCTTCTATGGCTGTGAAAACCAAATGGGATGCTTGAAATAAAACCTACTGTAATTAAGTTAGTTTAATTGTTTTAAGAAGGAATTTATGCATTTTTCAGCCATACTTGCAGCATTTGTGGATTCCAACTTGGGAAGAATGTCAGTTCAAAATAGGGAGGATGTTTGGCCACCTTGTTTTTCTTATCTGTTCGATGATGACTTACATCTCCTGTTTTTTTTCCCCAGTTATTTGTAGTAGATGTCCAGACTGGTCAAATTACCAAGATTCCTATTCTGAAAGATCGTGAACCCGGCATGGTCAACCAGCAGGGATGTGGTATTCATGCCATTGAGCTCAACCCCTCGAGGACCCTTCTGGCCACAGGTGGAGACAACCCCAACAGTCTTGCAATTTACCGCCTGCCTACACTCGATCCTGTCTGTGTGGGAGATGTAAGTGGGAGTATTCGGGGGAAGTTTATTCTGTCACTTACAAGAATTACTACTTTGAAGTATGTAAGGTCAGAGCAAGATTAAGATTTGGGAGTCCTGTAGTGGAGAGCGAATTTCTGAATGCTTGAAAACATTTCCAGTTAAGTTGTCTTTTTTGACAAGATGTCTTAAATATGAGTGAGTACACAAACATGTGAGACAATTCTCAGGCTTCTGAGCCAAATTTCTTCTTCCTCATCCTCATTCAGGTCTACTTCAGATTACTTTTAAGGACTGAAAATGTAACAAAATCCTAAATGTTAAAGTTTAATTATGGTGATGACTTCTGAAACTAGTTTTAGTGAAAAAGCTCTTCTGAGAAATTGAAAAGTTGACAGAAGCTGTTTTGATTTTCCCCTTCTCCAGTGCAGCTTATGTATGTATTATTCCAGAGGCAGAACTTGGCTTTGAGGATTAGTTCTAACCCAGTGGCTTATGGCAGTTTGATAGACTCTGGTACTGCTTATATTTCTGAAACATCATGAGGCCTTTTAAAATAGCCAGTCTTAAAAAGACAAAAAGCTGAAATGAGTATAGCGGTATCCTGTAAGCACTTCTCTCTCATTTCTCCTTTTTGACTCAGGACTTCACGTAGACGTTAACTACAACAGCAGAGGTCAGGTCAGAGTTTCTGCAGTAGCAGATAACCAGCTGCAGAAAGGCTCGACTCTGAAGATTTGTATGGCTTGTTATTCATTTGTGTGCTGCTGTGACTTTGCAGCTTTTCAGACAGAACTAGAGCCTTATGGTCTTTTTTTCCTCCATAGTTTTCTCACCTGCTAAAGAAAAGATTCTTGAACTAATAGTCTTGAAAAATTAATCTGTAGGTCATATATTGTAAACATAAGGTTTGGGGTACTTTTTATAGTAGGGATGTGCACTTGAGGAAATAAAAGTATGTAGCTACTTTACAGAAGTGAAGAGCGCTGCTTTCAAAATGGAAAAAAAGTCTAAGTCCTTAGAATTGAGATCAATTTGTCCTTGGTCAGAGACCTGTTTTTCCATCATCTAATTGCTCTCTATTAATGATACACTACAAAATTAAAAAAAAAGTTAAAATTACTGTTAGATACTTAAACTGCTCCAGCTTGATACTGGAATCTTATCTGTATGTTTTTGATGTAGGTCTGTCCTCTGAGTTCGTACTAAAAATCAAAGTGAAGAATACTTGTCTGCTTTGAGACTACTCTAGGGTATAATGGCACAGAAAAAAAACTGTCTTTTTTTCTTTTAGGATGGACATAAGGATTGGATATTTTCAATTGCGTGGATCAGTGATACTATGGCTGTTTCTGGTAAAGTGGATTTTTTTTCTCTCCTTTTTTTTGCCTTTCCAGAATTTTATACTGATGCACAGCACTTTATAGGTCTTAGGGAAGCACCTTGATCAGGGCATTTGAAACCACTTGGAACTACCTTGGCTATTTAAACCCTTCTTAGTTTTAGTACAGTGCTTCACTTTTTTTTATTTGTAGGACCCTGGTCTAGGTTTGATTTTTCTAGTATTGGAGGGAATATTACTGCCTTTCCAGTAGCCGTTGCCGTGAGAGTATCTCTGAACATCTCTAAAATGAATTACAGGGAAGGATTCCACACAAGAAGAATAATTTCAAGAGGGGTGTTGTTTATCATTTAATAAGTTTGGAATACAGCAGAGCAATATTGGTTTCCTGAAATCCTGTGAAAGACTAATTAATGAAAACTGTTTGTTTTGTATGTATATGTGTGTGTATGTGTGTACATGCACATACGCTATGGCAGTTAATACAGAAGGCTGTAATAGAAAAGGTCAGTTACTGACTTTTTAGTAACTAGTTGGACAATCAGTGTAACTTCATAAAGTATTACTTAGGTGAAGGCAGCAATACTAATATGCTGTTGCATTAATTTAGTAGTTTACTGTCTTTCTGTGCTGACAGGGTGTAGTATTCTGTACAGGGAGGTGTCAAACTGCAGGTGACACAAAATCGTAATAGTCTCTTATAAAAATCAAATGAACTAACTTGAATTGTTAGTTAGTAGGATTTTTTCTTTTTTTTTTCTTTTCTTTTTTTTTCCAAAAACCAAAAAGCTAATCCTGGAATTTGATTTTGAATTTAATGTAAAATTTCATCTTTGCAAGTCTCCAACCCAAATATCTGCATTAAAAAAACGTTGTCAGCTAGTAAGCTTGGAGAGAGCAGCAGAGGTGATTACAGATATCCAAGGGAAAGATAAGGACCCAGTGGAATAGAGGCACAGCATGTGAGGTTGAACTGTGTTGCTCTCAATGTTTTCTGCGTGCTCAAGGGTGGAGGTGTGAGTAGAAGACTGCCATGTCCTCTGCTGTATGAAGCTTACAGCAGGATGCAGGTTCTAGTCTCCGGACCTGAGACACCAGGGAAAACTTGTTGAAAGCCATTAGCAAGTCTGATTGCTACACTGAGTTCTTCAGAACTTCGCTGATGATCCTCATCAGGAGAAAACAAAGACGACTAACTTCTGACGTTGTTTTTGATTTACATCTGCATCTGAAAGCGGGGAGCAGAAATATTTGAACTCCAAACGTTGAGGATATAGCAAATATTTTTATCTCAATTGAGAAACTAAATGCAAATTTTTCGTGACTTTCTTGGGGCAGATTAAATGCCACAGGAAGAAAAAAGGGCATTTGGTCCCATGGCAGATCACACCGATCGTGTAGCCTGAGGTTCAAGATTTGGCAGTGTATTTTCTAGCTGCCGTCAAAACTGTTGAATGAGTACAAAGAGGACCAGGGGCTTGATTATTCCTCTTGCTTGTGTTAACTTCAGCAAGAAGAAGGCAGGGCTCTGCCTGTAAATTCTTCAGCAGTGTATTTCAGTAGTCCATAAGCATAAAATTAAACTCTGGACTAAGCAGCCATAGCTGAGGGAGAATGCATCAGTCCACTCAGTTGTACTGGCTAGACGAAAAGATTTCCATGGCAAAAGCTTCGGATGGGATGAATAATTCCCAGGATGGCATGAGCCTAGGGTAACAAACGATACTGTCCTTGGCTTCAAGGCCAACCAGTTGAGCAACATACATTGACTTTTTCCCCTGCTAGGGCTATTAAAAGGGACAGCTTCCTCCTAAAGCATGTCAAGATGTTTAGAAATTCTACTGCTGAGTATTCAGCACAAGATTAGGTGCCATTAAAAGCCATCAGCATGTAAATTGACTGGCAGGATGTAGTGTCATGTGCTCTCTGCTGCTATGCAGTGCCATTAGGAAGCTCCTTTTGTGTTTGGTTGTAGTAGGTGATAGTGGCAAATGACTGAATCCCTCTGTGAGGGGGCGAAGCCATCCCTGCTGTGCTGGACCACCCGCATTGCAACAAGATGTTTTGCTTAAGTGTCTTTGCAGCTTATTTCCTATGATGTACCAAAGCCTATCAATTTGACAGTCTGATGTAGATATTTTTTTCTGGCATCTTCAAGACATGAAATATTTCTTTTGCATTCCCTGTGAGAGAAGGAGGGATGTGTTTTTCACATTGTGTAGGGCAGAGATTGATGTACCGGAAGAGATTGAGGTACATGTCAAATCTGTCTGAGCTGACTTAGATGGAAGTGAGTTGCCTGAACACTGGGAGGGATGGGTATAGGGCCTTGGATTAAGCCTGTGTTGATCTACGAACCACAGACATTCAGCTTTCTTCATCCAGTATTGTTACTCTTGTTAATTTATATTTTAGATTAATATCTTCAAATTCAGTAGAAAAATAAAATCAGTTCTTGCTTGTTCAGCCTGAGTTCCTGTGTTACATTCTTTAAACAAAAGGTTGCATGGGTTTAAGAAAAATAATTTAAAAAATAGATTTGATACAAATTGTGGTTTGAAATAGTTGTTTCTGTTCAGTTCACAAATGTGTGTGTACATGTCTATAAGCATACTGGAAAAAATCAAATGATCCAAAATTGGTGTAAACCCAACTAAGTTTTCTTGGAGGTTTTTACATTGGCTTAACAGACTGTCAATCTCAGCCTTGGTAAGCCAGGCTGAATGTGTAGGCTATTCAGTTGCTTCCGAGTTTATTCTATGTGTGACTCTCTAATGGTGATTGTTGTACAGATTTGTGGTTTTTGATGCATCCTAATCAGTTGAAAACAGATGAGGTGATATAGCTGCTTGGAAACTGTGTAGACAAACTGTTTGACAATGAGTTCACAATGTTACGAACTTTACAGCTCAGTAAACTCAGCAAAATCATGGTTTTGTTAATAATAATTAATGTATAGGCACCAACAGTGTGTTCAGTTAGATTAACTTAATAGTATCCTTTCTTTCTTTCAGACCCTATTGTTTATTGCAGTTCCTTTTTTAAAAAGGGGAATTATATGTATGTGAAATGTTGTTATGGACTGTTTATTCAGGTTCCCGGGATGGTTCGATGGGTCTCTGGGAAGTCACAGAGGATGTGTTGTCCAAAAGCGATGCCAGGCATAATCTCTCTCAAGTTCCTGTCTATGCCCACATAACACACAGGGCTCTGAAGGATATCCCCAAAGAGAACACCAATCCTGACAACTGCAAAGTCCGAGCATTGGCTTTCAACAATAAGAACAAGGTCAGTAAGATAAGCAAGAGAGTTGAGAAGTCCTAAAACTGTCCATACGTATTAGAAAAAGAAAAAAGTAATCTAAATCAGAAATACTGGAGAAGCAGCCTAATATTTTTTCTCCTGATCCTTTTGCATCCTTCTCATATGAGATGGTCACCTTTATCTGCTACGTCTGCTTCTGCCCCAAGTGAATGGAGAAGTCCAGTAGAAAAAAGACGTATGTTTTCAGAAGGAACAATTTTGTGGGTTTGATTTTTATACTTGCACCCTACGGAGCACAGGAATGTTTACAAGAAGCAGATAAAGCACCAAAACACCTCTTGCAGCTTGAATCCCATTCTTGAGTGCTCTTGCTGCTTTTCTTCCCCTTTCATGAAGACCAGCTAACATTCAGGCAGTTCCTGTTCTGATGGAACAGTCGTTACTGGATTGTTCAGCAAGTGAGGTAACTGACACACAGGGCAGGCACCAGTGCTTGCTTCAGTGTTATTTTGTTGGCATTTGACAAACAGTAAATGTTAACCTCCCCCGCGCCGATCTCTTGTTATTACTAGTGGGAGTAGCAATTCATCCTCCACTACTTTTCTTTCTGCCCTCAAACAATAGAGGTGGTCTGAAGCGAAGGTGGGCGTGCTTTCAGAAGCACGGTGCTCCTGTGGGCTTTATTTTTCACTAGAGCTGTTAATTACTCCTCTGTGATGGAGACTTCGAATAGCTTTTTCAGTAGAGCAGTGCCTAGAAAGAAATGTTTGCTTCAGGGTCAGAATCAGTGTGGGAGCTGCTGAAGAGAATTGCCAACTCTAGCTTGTGCTGTCTAATAATTCATTATTTGATTGTCTAACAAGATCTCTACTTTTGAAAGTTATTTTTTGTTTTATTAATTCTTATTCTACCTGGCATCTTTGTGCTGTATTGCATTCTATCAAGATCAGTATAAAATGAAAATTTATCTTGATAAGCATGTATATGATCATGGATGAGTTCAGTCTGGAGTATGCAGCCTGCCTAGTAGAGAGTGTGAATTTGTAAGGACATGTATAATACAGAAACTAACTCTCTTACTTTTTTTTTATAGGAGTTGGGAGCTGTGTCTCTAGATGGGTATTTTCATCTTTGGAAAGCAGAGCACACGCTATCGAAGGTGCTTTTCTGTTTGTTGGTGTAAAATTTCAAAAATTGCCTGGCAGTTAAGGCTGTTCACTATTCTTCATCTCCTTCAAATGCTTGAAGAAAGAGCAGCAGTGTTTGTAAAACACTTAAAAGCTTTATGTAAAATGAAATGTCCTAAAAATCAGAACTTGAGGAGAGGAGCTCCCCACGCCCCTTATTTTGGAGGGTGGGAAGTGCTCTTAACTTTCTGCCAGTTAAAGGTGAGCTGAAGTGAACCGTTCCATAGAGTATGATGGATACTTGATTAGCAGTGTTCATAAAGGAAGTGCACTTGTTGAAGTGTAATTGCAGATCAAACGCAGACATATCTATGCTAGTGTGTGACATAAGCTTTTTCAGCTGAGAGCTGATGTCTGTGTACCCCTGCTGAAGAAATAACAGCAGCTTAGAAAGATGTAAAACAATTTGCCAAAATGTTCATTGTTCTTTGCATAATACTTGGCTTCAGCCTTTCTAAATCTCAGTTTGGTTCAGATAAGGCTTCCCATCTCCTTCAGGGTTTTTTCTCTGCATCAGGTTGTTGCTTTTCTCTTAAAGTTCTGTTTTTGTGGTGAACTTATTTTTTAGCTGCATTTTATTTTTTTCACCGCAACTTCCTTGAACAGAGTTTACAGAATTGTTCTGTTAACATCTTGCTCTTTTCTCATAATGGGTTGATTTTTATTTCTTCTGTTTCCAGTTACTTTCCACAAAATTGCCATACTGCAGGGAGAACGTGTGTTTGGCTTATGGTCAGGAGTGGTCAGTGTATGCAGTAGGATCACAGGCACATGTCTCCTTTCTGGATCCCAGGCAGCCTTCTCACAATGTTAAATCCGTCTGTTCCAAAGAACGAGGCAGTGGTAAGAAACTTGTCAAAGGGTGCTTCAAAAGGTTTGCTTGCAGAAGTAGCTATTAAGACTGCAGTAAGATAAGCTTTTGATAAATAGGAAGGGGTTTTGGTGCGATAGACCAAATCATTGATTGATAGTCTATGTAGGTTTTGCTTTTATGGCCGTATTCCTTGAGCAACCAACAAACCAAACTTAAAAGCAACTCTAAAATCTAATGATAGACAACATTAGTGCTTTTATGATCAACTAAATTGTACACCGTCCAAATATTACTGAACTTTTAAAAGTGTGCATTTTACTTCTACTTATTTTTTATTGCATCTTATTCTGTTTTACTTCATCTCAAAGCAAATCCAGTCTTTGTACTGCTATTAATACTGTCAATTCTTGCATTTTTCTCTGGGAATGGGGAAAAAAAGCATGTTGTCTGCTCTGTGCTATCATATTGGGAGTCTGTGCTGTGAGTGAATGCTTGCTTTGTAATTTTAAAGCCATGAATGAGACTCTTAGTTTTTGATGTGTATTTATTTGCTTTAAATATACAAAAGCTCACTCTTAAAAAAAAAAAAAGCAGATTTGAGTGCTGTTTTCCTTTTCTGATGTGGATGCAGTATGTCCAGTTGAACCTTACACCAGGGCCAAGCATGAGGGCTTGCAGGGTGCATGGTCCCATAAGGTTCTTCCCATGCCCTTTATTTTCAGGCATGAGAAGGCACTGTGCTGTGCTGCCCATTTTAAACCATATTAATCCCAGACTGATAGGTTTCAGTCCTTATTTAGCTTGGCTCTAGGCATCATCTCTAAATTGGGCAAGTTATCAAAAGAGAATGCATGTAGACAAGGATTAGGAAAGTTTTATTTATGTGGTAACTGGAGTTTGAACGGTGCTGTCCAGATAAATGTCAAGGTCTGCTTCTTTCAGATATGGGAGAAGCTTCTATAATATGAGAAAAGGTGCTTCACCAGCTCATGCTGTCACCTGAACATCTTACCAGCAATAGCCCTTGTCCTGACCCGCTGTCAGTGAGGGCTCTGTGGAGGTCTTTGGCACTGTCACCCTTCAGTAGCATAGGGAAGAAATACCAAGACACTGGAGTGTGGTGCCCAGTGGTGGCTGAAAGCTTCTGCCTTGAGTATGTGATCATCCCTGCTGGGGGGATGATCTATGTGTAGGTAGTATCTCTGGGGCATCTCCAGTTCATGTCTGGAGAAAGCCTTTGTTCAATGTTGTCTTCTGTTCTGCATAGGAGGCGGATCTTTCTTTTTTGGCATGGTGGTGGAGGCACTTAGGTAATATTAATTGCCAAGATACTGAGTGTTTCAACTTTCTGTTGATCTCACTGGGACTTGGTGCAGTGCAGCACCTCTGCAAAGTAGGCTGTTTATTGATTTGCAGACTAAAATGTGGGTTGACTTTTAAGTGCTTTGAAGTGTTACCCGAATGTGCTTTCAGCTTCCAAATGCACCTGCT